GCTTCAGATCTGAAACCAGAAGCTTTGGAACAGGCACATAATGGTTGGAGCCTCCTTAAATAAGGTGCATCTTTTCCTGGGCTCACAGGTAGTTGTACAACCCCAAGAAACTATGTATTTGACTTAAGGAGACACTAGAACAGTGTTCCTCAACTTTAGCACTTTAAAGAAATGTGGATTCCAACCCCCAAAATCCCCTGCCCCGCCATGCTGGCTGGGGAATTCTGGGAGTTGAAGTCCACATATCTTAAAGTAGCTAAGGTTGAGAAACACTGCACTGGAAGGTATAACAAGATGCTTTGTGGGATTGGTGTCACCCTAATTCAAAGTCATATTTTCCTGACACAGTGCTCCTACCATTTCTTCAACATGGTGGAACACACAGAGGTGCACTTGGCCTCTTTGCTTGTGGTGTTCTAGAAAGTAGTGAAGACACTTCTTTTGAAACAAGCATTTGGCACATAACTCAATGATCATCGGACAGCCATTGATTTCTGTGGGAAGTTGAAATGTGTTATTTAGTTATTCATTAACAGTAATTAGAGACAAACACAGAGACATGGCTCTGTGTGGTGAATTGATATTTAAGAATATACTGTATAGTGCCCAGAATAATTTAAGTGGCTGCTATAGAAATTTGCAATCAATCAATCAATCAATCAATTAATAAATAAATCGAGCTGACTAATGTGTATTATATTTTATAATGTTTTACTGCTTGGTTATATAAATAGAGAAGTTAGATACATTTCAGTGATAGCATGATAAATGGATCAATATTCTGACATCCACTGAAGTAAAAGGCTGATTAGCCAACCACATGGTTATTACTAGGTGAGAGACCACTAGGAAATTCCAGGGATATAGACCAGAAAGTTTAAAAAAGCTCAGAGAAAAGCAATGGCAAACCACTGCCAAAGAATCATATATATGTATGTGCACTCATCAGAAGTTGAGTTAAAGCTGAGACTTACTTTATTGCATAATTTCTAAGCCCTCTCCACTTAAATTTCCTTTCTTGTGGGATATAGAATTAGATGTCTAGTCCATAGTCTTGTATACTCCAATCTAATGTATTGCTGTCAGCTGAAGTGGAGAATGCTTGTTGTCAGAGCAGAAATAACATTCAATTACTAATGCATTATTTGGTATACTGTATATAGGCTGAGGAGGACTGCTGACTTTTCTTTCAGCAACAAAATGGTTTAAGCTCTGGTAGAAACCTACTATTATGTGAAGCCCATGAAAGCTATAAAGAGCCTTCAACAGAATAACAAGGTTTTGAATAGTGTAATAATATAGTATGTATGTAGCTCAGGGTTGAGTTGTTGATCTGTTGGCTTCAGAGCTTCTGAGTTCTGTTCTGCAGAAGCTTCGTTACCAGGCTAGGTAATATCATCAGTGCAGGGTGGAGGGGGAATAGAGTTTTCTGGGTGTTTATACGTGGTAGCTTGTCTTACCAGCCTTGATTGCTTTTTGGGTGGGTATTGTTTCTTTGATTGTTTGATGTTCTTGTTTACCTAGAGCTGATTTCTACTTATCTGGGTGTTGATTAATTGGTATGTGATAAGGAAAGATACGTTAGAGCTGTTTGCCCTTTCCTTCAACTATACAGGTAGTCCTCAACCTACGACCATTTTGTTCAGCGATTGCTCGAAGTCACATGATTGCAATCTGGGCACTTGGCAACCGGTTTGCACTTATGACCAGTGCAACATGATCACCATTTGCAACGTTCCCTGCCAGCTTCCCTAGAAAGTCAATGGGGAAACTGGTAGGGAAGGTCTCAAGTCACTGGGGTAAGTCTCCCCTACCTGTATCCTCTGCATCCTCCCCCAGCCTCTCTGCGCTCACACAGTGCGGGCCACTTGTGCACCCCTGTGCACCCTCCCCGACCCTCACAGCATCTCCCTTGCAGCCCCGTGCACCGTCTCTGACCTGCACCTCTTGCACGCCCCTTTGTACCCCCTCTCCAACCTACTCTGTGCCTCTCACGCACACCCTTGCACCCTCACCAACCTGCACTGTGCCTCTTACACACTTGCGCGCCCTCCCTGACCCTCCCTTGGACTTTTCCCTGCACCCCATGCACTCCCTTGCTCCCTCCCCACCCAGCAACAGCCACTTACCTGCCGGCTGGCCTGGGACTGACTTTGGTTGTGGGAAGCTGGCAGGAAGTTCCCTTGCCTAACAACCGTGGGATTCAGTTAACAATGGCAACTGGGACTGCAGGAATTGCTGTTGCTAAGCATTGCGGTTATGCTTTACGACTACATTGCTTCCACTTGACATTGTAAGTCAAGGCCTACCTGTAGTTGCTTCCTTTCTTGAATGGTTTGTAGATGGAGCTATCTCAGTGGGTCTGCTAATGACTGAGTCATCACAGTGCTATGCCTCTAGGAATTCTCTTGCATTTTTGGATATTGCTTGGTCTAAAATGTCTAGAGTTTCCCACTGAAATTGTGGTTGATCTTGTTAGTGTGTTGTGAAATTAAGGGGTTTTCATCATGTCTTCTGACTGCCAGTTCATGGATATCTTCTCTCAGTTTTCTGTGTGTTTGCCCCACATAGTGGTTTTCACAGTCCTTGCATCTGATATTGCAAATGACTTCTATTTTGTCCTCTTTAGCTATAGGATCTTTGGGTTTGCTTAGGATGCTCCAGGTAGATTTTGTCAGTTTATGAGCTACCATGATATCTAGGGAGTATAGTAGTCTTGGCAATCTCGGAAATGTTTTTGGTATAAGGTAGAACTATCCTTGAATGAGTTGTGTAGTTGATTGCATAGATACTTTTTGATGAAATTGTTCATTGCATTAGAACAGTATATACTGTAGATAGTCCATTTCTGCTTTTTGGACTTCTGGGTTATCGTGCTGTGTATTTGCTCATCTGAAGGAAGTTCTTACACAGCTTCTTTTGTGTGTTGTTGGGTTTTGCTGTGATAGTTGAGTACATAATTGCTGTGCGTTGTTTTATGATACACTTGGATGTGTAGGTTGCCATTATTTTCTGATGACTGTGTCCAGGAAGAGTAGTTTATTGCTGTTGCTATTCTCTTCTATTGTGAATCTGATTCCATGGAAGGTGTTGTTGATGTATTTGTATGCATTCTGTAGTTGATCTCTTTTGTCAATAACACATATGTTGCCCACATAACAGATCCACGTTTTGGACTGTATCTCTGGGAGGATTGTTTCTAGAGGTGGCATTACTATCTCAACTATGAATCCTGAGAAGGTCTTGAAGAGCATCCAGAAATTTCATCTTCTAATCTGTTTCTATATTTGTCCATCAAATTGGAAGTAGATGGTGAACAGAGATCTACAGGCAGTCCTCGACTTACAACCACAATAGGGACCAGAATATTCATCATTAAGTGGTGCGGTTGTTAAGTGAGATATCACATGACCATGACTTGAGACCTTCCCTGCTGGCTTCCCCATTGATTTTGCTTGTCAGAAGCCGGCTGGGAAGATTGCAAATGCCAATCACATGACTGTAGGATGCTGCAACCATCATAAATGTGCGATGGTTGCCAAGTGCCTGAATTTTTATCATGTGACCACAGGGACTCTGTGACAGTCATAAGTATGAGGATCAATGGTAAGTCACTTTTTTCAGCGTCATCATAACTTCGAACAGTCACTAAATGAATGGTGGTAAGTTGCAGACTACCTATAGAAGTTCCATAACTTTTGGTATTTTGACAGAATAAATGCTGAAGATTAAAAATGATTAAAGCAATGCATTTAATTTTGAATCAGTTTTTGATCTCAACAACTGTACTTATATTGACTGCAGTTTCTTCTGGACTCCATGCTAATCTTAATCTTGATTGTATTAAAACAATACTAAAATTCTTATATCTTATCCTTTAAACAGGTTACGAGGTGCATGGGATGGATAAAGTACCAGAAGGACCAGGGCTTATCGTATTTTACCATGGAGCCTTTCCTCTAGACTATTACTACTTTGTATCTAGATTATATTTAAGAACAGGCAGATTTTGTCGCTCAGTGGTTGATTATCATTTTTCCAAAATACCAGGTAAAATGTATTGCCTATGCACAAACACTGCATTGCAAACGGGTAACGCTCATACTATAATTAAAATGTATTAATACATTACATGGTTCCTCTGAAATGCAGGCTCATCTGGTTTCTTGAACTATCAAGCAAATCTTGCATCTTTTGATATTTTGATAGTGGCTGAAAAATACAACCTTTCTAGCCTAAGCCAGAGCAGTTTAGGTCTGTTCTACTTGTTAGAAGCATCTTATTTTTAGGACAACTTAGATAAAATGGCAGAACAATGTTTCTTGGTGGGTTCAGAATGAAAAATGCCCAAACACACAGTTCAAAAGAAGACTTCTGTATCTTTACTCTCTCTTTATAAATATATAACTTAAATAATTTAAGATAAAAATATATCTTAATAAATATGTTTTAAGTGATTAAATCTTCAGCGCATGTCCAATTTCCCTAGTTTTCTTGGAAGCATTAATTTTTGGATAAGGATGAAGGGAAATGTTTCAAGCCTTCTAAACTATTTATGACATAAGGTCTTTTGCTGCTGAGAATCAGAACAATATATAATATGAAACTTTAATCTTAAGAAAGACTTTATACTGCACTGCTTATTCAAATACCAGTTAACAAAATGCTTCCTGAAAATAAAAGGATGATCTCCTGTCAGTTTTGTCCTGATATCTTCATTCCTCGTCTATTGGGGAAAAATCTTTTTGCAGTTTTGTCTAGATAGACTGTACCAACACTTTGGCTGAAGAGCTAGTCACTACTAGAAATGAACATCCTGGTCTGTCACTTAAATTTTACTGACAGTAATTGTAACCACCTTTTACTTACTAAAAACTCAGTTCAGTAAGGGAGACTAAAGGCTGGGTGGCAGTGATGGGGAAATGCCACCCACAATAAAGGAACAGTGAATGATGCTGGTGCCTGGGCAAATCTCCACTGCCCTTTTTTCCCTTTGTGTAGCAGGACATTATTTGTTTTATTTATTTATATTTCAAATTTGGTCAACCACCCATCTCACGAGGAAGTGACTCTCTTTATTAGCTATATCTGAATATGTGTAACTAATTACAGATATATTAGTCAAGGAAAGAAGGGATATCTGCCTGTGCAGCCTTCTACTATTCCAGTTTAATAAATTTTAGACTCAGCAAAGTTATGTAAGCCCTGCCAAATCTGTTTAATATCTGCACCTACAACCCTGTCTGAATATAATGGGCAATACATTCTGTTGCATATGTTGCTGAGTATACATGCAGAATACAGTGGTACCTCTAGTTACGAACTTAATCCGTTCCGTGACTCTGGTTGCAACTC